TATTGTGGTTCACTAAACCCATCGACACCAATATCCAAAGTTTGGCAGAGAGTTAAAAACTTTAGGAACTCCACCAAACCTCCCACTATCTCCACCTTACCCGAATCTCTGAGTAACAGTTTTTTCAACCACATTGCTCCAACGTATGTTCCTACTGCAGATGAATGCTGCCTGAAATCCCATGAGATTGAGCGACCCGAGTCTCATGACCCGCTCGATTTGGAGTTCTCACCTGAAGAACTTCAAACGGTACTCAATCATGTGAAGGACTCGGCACCAGGGATTGATGGGTTCCCCTACTCATTCCTAACTAAAGCAGGAACTAAAGCGAAGCAATACTACCTTGACTTGGTCAATTTTTGCTTTATTTCAGGCTATATTCCTCCTACCTGGAAGGTTCAGGTTATTATGCCGCTGTTAAAAGCTGGCAAGGACCCTGGTGACCATTTGTCGTACAGACCTATTGCCCTATCGTCCATACTTATTAAAACTTTTGAACACCTCATCAAAAACCGCCTTGAATGGTTGGTTGAGAGCCAGGGGCTGCTTCCGGCGACTCAGTTCGGCTTCAGGAAAGGTCTGGGTACGGCTGACAGTGTGGGTACCCTCACTTCAGCCATCCGACTGGCCCTTAGCAGGCAGGAGTCGTTGGTCGCAGTCTTCTTGGACATCTCAGCGGCCTATGATTCTGTCCTCTTACCCCTTCTCAGGCAGAAACTGCAAAAGCTGAGAATCCCGAGTAGGATCTGCCGAATTATAGCCCACATCCTTTCCGATCGTACCCTCCAATTAAGAACTCCTGAGGATAACCCAGTACGGAGGTCCTCCTGGAAAGGTTTACCTCAGGGGTCAGTCCTTAGCCCCATCCTTTATAACATTTATACATATGACCTTCCCTCCTGTCTAAATTTTAACTGTAATGTCCTTCAGTATGCTGACGATATCGCACTAATGGTTACTAACAGCTCTATAACAGACGCCGCCCACTCCATCAACGTCTCTTTGGCCTCATTAAACCAATGGCTTCTGAATCACGGGTTATCTTTAAGCGCCCCAAAAAGCTCAGCTGTCATTTTTACACGCAAACGACGCACTCCGGATCTTCGTGTAGAGATAGACGGTCAGGATATCCCAATCAAAAGCAGTGCTAGATTCTTGGGGGTTTATCTCGATTCAAAGATGTCTGGGGCGGATCACATAAACACTGTGGTTGCAAGGTGTGAACGCTCAGTATCGATACTCAGAGCTCTGGCCGGGGTATGGTGGGGTGCACACCCCTACTCATTGAAGCTCATCTATAATGCATTGGTCAGAAGTGTAATGGACTACTGTTGCTTCCTTATTGTTCCTTGCAATAAGGGTGCATTAAAAAAACTAGACTCCATTCAGGCCAAATGCCTTAGAATAATTATCGGAGCTATGAAATCATCCCCCATAAATGCTCTTCAGGTTGAATGTGTAGAGCCTCCCCTCAACCTTCGAAGACAATACCTGGCAGACCGCTTCATCTCAAAAGTCCTCTCCCTCTCATCACACCCCCTTCTTCCTATCCTAGAACAAATCCACTGTTCCTATAGGTCCTCTTCCTACTGGAACAATAAACCTGTCCCTCCCGTGATTGTCAGGTACAGGGAGCTTAAAAACCTCTCTGCACCCATCAGGCAATATCCTGTACTCCCGGTTTTCTCTTCCGCATATGAGGTTATCCACTTCAAGCCAAAGGTAATTCTAGGACTCGGCATCTCGAAATCCTCCGTAGATGCTGCGGGCGAGTTTGGGCGCGCTTTGAACAGTTACTGGAGGGGCTGGAATATTTTCTTCACCGACGCGTCTAAACTATCCCGAAATGGAAGTACAGGAGTAGCAGCGTACTTTCAAAATTCGAAGATCGCCCTCCTCTCCAAGTGTCCCCCGGAAGCATCTGTCTTCACGGGAGAATGTGTTGGCATTTTAGAATCAATAAAATTTATTAGAGCACACAACCTTAGAAATTCTGTTATTTTTTCCGACTCCCGAAGTAGCCTACAGTCTCTCAACCAAGACCAGCTCCATTCCCGAACTCATAGCAGTTTGGTTGTAGAGATAAAGGCGCTTCTTTTTTCTTGCTTCAAAGATGACATAAATATCGAGATCGCTTGGATTCCTGGTCACTCTGGCATATGTGGTAACGAGTGTGCGGATTCATTGGCCAAATTTGCGGCCTCGAATGAGGTCGAACGCCAACACTACGTTGTGTACGGGTATGATATACGTGCCGACACAAAACACAAGCTGTTTGACTCATGGGCTGCAGTGTGGGTAGAAACTTCCAAACGGAAAGGTGCCTACTATGCAGTTGTCCAGCCCGGCATCCGACGGAAACCTTGGTTTTCCAAGTACCCTAAGCTTCCCCGTCATACTGTTTCATCCTTGTGTAGGCTCAGACTCGGCCATTGTAGTAGTCCGGTCTTCCTCAACAAGATCCGTGTCCGCGACAGCTCGCTGTGCGAATGCGGCCTTGATGAGGGAACCTTAGAACACATATTTTTTTCGTGTCCTTTAAATTCCCAATCCTTTGACCTCTATAAAAAACTTCCCAGTATCCAAATCCCACTCCCAATCAGTTTCCACCTCCTTTTAACTCACTTTTCCCACAAAGTAATTATTTATATATGTAAATTTATGAATGAAAATGTGATCAAAATGTGACGGTGTCCAATGATGTATATTATCTGTCTATATTGTGTATGTCCCCCAACTATTTTTTACACCACTGTATAATACAGTAAAATAGTTGATAATGTTTATGTTTTACTAACCCAATTGTTTTGTCCTTTCAGCTACTAACAACTAAAAACTACCGCAAAGTTAAGTTCGACGGTCCAATAATTTTGCCGTCACCACTCGACACTGGCAGTATAGTCGACAACACCATTTTGGAGACTCAGTTGCCAAAGAAGAAAAAAAAAAAAAAAAAAAATGTTTGGTCGGCTTATCTATCGTAAGTCTGTATTATTATTATTTTTTTTTAAGGAGGGAAAATCATCGAATGGCTGCTCCTGCCTGAGTGAGGCGTGAGGGAGTGTTAGACTCTTACTGACTAAAAACCACCCGTTCCTTCTCCTGCACGTCGAGCCGGAGCCCCGGTTACCCGTTAGGTTCTCCGCGACGAGTCTGTATGGTATAGACTTACTTAGAGATTAATTTAAATAAGTAATAACTATGTATCAAAAAGTTTTAAACACAAACTAGCTACTTCCGCGCGGTTTCACACGCTCTGCTCAGCTCCTATTGGTCGTAGCGTGATGTTTTATAGCTTATAGCCATCCATCGATAAATGCGTTATCCAACACAAAAAGAATTATTTAAATCAGACTTGTAGTAACGGAGATTAGCGCGTTCAAACAAACAAACAAAAAAACAAACTGTTCCTCTTTATATAATAGTAAATAAAAATAATATTGGTACTTAATCTTACTAATATTATTGATTAATGCGAAAGATTGTGTGTCTAAGTGTACCTATGTTTGTTACTCAACCACGTCAAAACGGCTAAATAAATTGGGTTGAAATTTGAAAAATGTTGGTACTAAAACAGCATATGATGTGGTAATCTGTACTGTTTAATACTGTTTTAGTACTTTATTTTAGCGCACAGGAACGCGGGCAGGCGCTAGTAGTAAATACCTAATTATTACAATACCCACGTCCCTTAAATCCGGGTTCGCGAGACGATCTCGGAACCTATCACGAGACGATCTCCGGTCACCATAAGCATAGGCCTGCGGACGGCGATCACGGGTGACTCGCCACCCGACCAGAACCAGACCTGAGCGTACTTACGGCACTCGAAAAGCCATCTGAACAAGCCGTGGAGGACCCCGATGTGCAGGAGTAGGAACGGGGTGGTTCTTAGTCAGTAAGAATTTGACACTCTCTCACCTGAAGGGCGAGCGGAAGAAGTCATTAGATGATTTTCCGTGGGGTTCCGTCGGGTTGTATGAAAATGTGACTTTCGAGCAGGGATTGGAGTCAAAAGTAGTATTCAAAAGTATTGCGTTTTTGACAGATTTTCAATAATTCCTCAAAGGGTACCTACTTATTAGCAGGGAGTTTAGTTTTGTTTATGCCTGGTAAGGACATAGGTAGGCAAGTAAGTACTTATTAAGGTAACCTGAGCCCCATGACGTGGGGCCGGGGGTGGTGGGACTTGGGACTCATAACATAAAAGTAAAACTACATTATAGTGTATGTTTAGGTAATCATATTTGCCAATATATGCCAGATTAATGTTATGCACTAATACTCTCTCACTAACACTATAGCCTTACAAAAATGAGGGTCGAAAAAAAAAATCTGTGGTCAAATGTCAAGCACGTAGTCTTGGATTTCCGTTCCGTATCGGCTTGTAAGAAATAAAATGTATAACTGTTAAGAGCAATTCCACTCCCACGTCCATTTTCGTTGAATAACGCAGAATCAAAACGTTTATCGGATCCTCAAATGTTGCCAGGTCTCTAAACAGGTGAAATGTGTAATTATAGATTATAGTGTAATGTCATAATATTATATTTATATATCTATGTGTCATAAATTAAAAGCCAAAAAATGTATTGCAATTATGTCAAATTCCACAATGGGGATGATGACAGGGTATGAAAATTAAAAATATAATTAGTCCGTAAGTTGGGTAATTAAAAAACATTAGACACGTATTTTTTTATTTTGTCGTATAATAAAACAATACTTAGATAAAACGAATCAATGTTTAGGAGTGGGGGCTAAAACGTCATTTCTTAGTATAAAATGTACTGAGAAGTGACGTCACGCGACATTTCAAATCAATATATCTTCGAAACTATTTGTTTCCGTAAGAAAATAAAAAATACGTGTCTAATGTTTTTAAATAATCTACCAGACGGACATTAAAATAAAAATTAGTCGTCAAGCGCTTAGATAGGCAACGCCGCAATGGTAGTTTTAACAATTTTTAGAGCGACAACACAGAGATATTTATTTGACATTCTGCTACTCAAGTCAGCTGAACAATGCATTTTATTTATTTATCGTAAAAACGAAATTCTAATCAGAATCTTGGTCCCGTTGTTGTTTATTCACTTCTTGATATTACAAATGTAAAATTCTTTATTCAAATTCACTTTGAGCGTGTTTGTGTGGTGCGTGCTCTGTGGATTGGTACCATTGTTTTTTTTTCTCGCAAGAATTCGTTGAAAAATGTTTGGAAGGCCGAGATGTCGAGAGTGGACTCCACTTGCTACACAACAACTGCGGCTTCGAAGCTTGATTCAGGTAATAAAAACAACTTTTGAAAGTCGCAATACGATTCTTTTTGTTACAAGTTTATAAACAGACGCCTACGCTCGTACCATTGTGACTTCATGATAATATTTTTATTGCTATCGATGACATTTATCTACTCTTACTTCATGTTAAAATCACTCGAAAGTGTTTACTAAGCAGTCTATTTAGCTATTATTATTATAAAACAGTTTTAATGAGCTAAATTTGTTTTATAAATTGGTATTTCCTGCTTATAACGACTTTGGTTTGTTTCGATAACTCATACCTTTATAAAATAGGTCAGTTCTAGTTTTATTTGGGTTTTCATTATCAATAATGTGCTCTATAAAAGTAGTTTTAATGAGCAACATTTATATTTTTTTGGCATTTATTTATTACTTGCAACTACAAAATTTTTATGTTACTCCAATTTTTCAAAACAATCTCCTTTTTATATGACAGTAAAAATATTGTCACTGAATCATTCCTCATTTATAATGTCAGTCACATGCACACCTGTGGATCCTGTTTCCTTACAGGTGTTTCGAAAATTTGAACATGCTAAATAGGTACTAATATTAGATATACCAGTTCTTATAATTACTAAACAGATTGAATAATAAACAAAAAAAATGTAAATCATAGACATAGAAATCAAATTAGAACATTTATCTACGTATGTACATAATTATGACATTTTACGAGATTTTATCTCATCCACATATAGCCTACTTTTATAAAGTCTAGTAATACTATTTGTGACTCCTCTGTTGTTGCGGATGTCCATCGGTGGCACTGATCGCTTACCAACTGCTTGTTTGTAGGCGTATCCCATAAAACAAATGTTTAAATTACTGAAACAATTAAAAAAATTTAGAAAAAGAATTTTTTTCTTCTCTAATAATATTTTCTGATTTATTTTGTTGCGGGATTTAAACATTTATTCATGCCCCATGGGTGCGCACAACTTCAATGTCCTGGTGTCTTTATGATTGTATCTACTGTAGATCCTGGATTACATGTATTGCAGCAACTTTGGGAGGTTGTACCAGGCTTGTCCAAACAAAAAAACAAAACAAACTACAACAATTGAAACTTTGCAATCATATCCGCCATTTTATCTATGTGTGTGTAATGAGAAGTGTCAATGAATGTGGTTCATTGTTCAGGGTAGTTGCATACTCAACAGTTAAGCAATATACATAGGTAGATAAGCTTGGATACTATTTTGCTGAATAGAAAGTTACAATCATTTAGGTACAGTATTATAAGACATTTTCTTATTTTATGAAATTATTTAAATGTGAACAACTATTTATTGATTTTGTTTTTGTTAACAGTCTGTCTATAATAGATCTAGTTATTGAATGAACATAATTATGCCTTACTCTGACAGTCCTGATCAATACAGAGTTAGGGCCAATTTTTCAATGCTCAGATAAATTTGAACTGAGGACTATCTTTCAATATTTGACAATTCCACAGGCCCACAGGAAGAAATTCCAGTTGGAATATGTGGGGCCTATGTACTCTGTTTTTATATATGTATTGTCCTCTGTGTTGAATGTGTGTACATAAATAAATAAATAAATAAATAAAAAATATTCCATACTAAAAATTGTCAATTGTCAATTTTATTCAACAGTTACGAATTAACTGATGATTGAAAAATCGGCCCTTAAAAGCAAAACTTATGTTTCTATTTTCAGAAAAAGCTATATTCCTATTAAATTTAAAATGAATTAAGTACATTAATAATAGTTCAAATTTCCTTATTTTAATATTTCAGATTGTGGGCTACAATATAAGGCCGCCTGAGTGGTGTACATCTCCATGCAGTTTCTATTTAACTCTGCATCACACCACAATGTCAGCACCGTTTTATACAAGCGAGAGGATTTGCTCGCCACACCCAAAATGGAAGGAAATCGACTCAGGTACTTATTGGAAATAGATTACTCTTAATACTTTTTAGTATTGAAATGTATAGTAACTATTACGAACTTTTAGTTAATGTTATTGTTCCAAATTTCCACATAAACATAACATTATAACTTAATTCAAGATTACTACTAAGTCTGCTCCTTTGACCACAATCACATCGATATATTACTTTAATATATAAAGCTGTTTGTTTAAACATGCTAATCTCCAGTACTGGTCTGATTTGAATAATTATTTTTGAATTGAATAGTAGTTTTGATTGACTCCATTTGACATCTGCTAAGTGTGGGGAATATTTTAGATTATTTATTATATTAATTGTATTATTTAAACTGTTCAATCCCCAAACGGTCACCGGTGACCACTCTCCTCTAACTCCATTATAGACCTTTTCCGATGTTTAGAGAATACTTTTGTCCCCAAAATTTGTTTATAATTTTGGGGATATTCGATATGATATATCAACGTATTAGCACCCATTTTATAAATGAATGGTATAGGGAGCAAAAATTATCTTTGACTAGCTTCTACCCGCGACTTCGTACGCGCTATCCCGTTTTCGATTACCAATTTTTTTTCTATCATAAGATCCAGCCATTCTCAAGTTATGGCGTGACAACGGGAAACGGGTTTCATTTTTATATTATCTTTGATTAAGGTAATGATATTATTCACTTGTTTTAAAACTATTTTCAAACAAAATATTTGACTCATATCTCAAATCAGAATATGAATGATATAGCAATCGACCTTTAACTTAAACACCAAAACAATAACTAACACTATACAAAACGGATCTATAAACTGATTGTAATTAACAATGACTCAGTCTGTTATATGTGTCAATGCTTATCAAATATATGCCTATTAAACTAATTAATATTCACAATTCTGTTGACGTTTTTATCATTAACGTTGGTACTTATCATTTGTTTGGTTTTTTATGGGATAAACCTGACCTGGTAAGCAATCATCGCCGCCCATAAACACCCAAAATACTAGAGGCGTTACAAGTACGTTGCCGGCTTTTTGGGAGACAAGTATTTGATGATTCGTTGATTGGGGAGGAGGGTAATTGGGCCTCCAGTAACCTCACTTTCGCGACGAAACAATGCTTCGATTGTTTCACGTCGGTTTTTATGAGGCCGTGTTATTACTTCGGTCGAGCCCATTTGTACCGAAGCATTGCTTAGTTCCAATTTTGATACAGAATTTGGGAACAAAGTTTTGGTTTGCTAATGACCAAAATTTATCACCGATCCTCAACACAAAAGTTGTTTATTGACATTACATCTATTGTATTTGTCTCAAAAACCGGTATAAAGACTTTTAAAGCGTAGGAATCCCTTATTAACTTTGAAGTATCTTTCTAGGAAACACTATGTTAATAAAATTTGACCTACCATAACCAGATTGATATATATATAGGTATCACTTTCTATAATTATAAAGATAAAATCACGCCCCTTTTCACCCCGATATTACGTAGCTGAAGATAAACAGTTCCGACTACTTTTATCACAAAAAAACTTTATCAGCTTACAGTTAAACAAAATAAAAACAATGTAATGAATAGATACAATTTCTCGTAACTTTGGGTACGAACACTTATTTGGATAAGACCGTTAAACAGTAAAAGAAGTTTTAATAGATATAACAATAATTTTTACTTATATGTTTTAGGATTTTGCTCTACATAACATAAAGAAATACTTTTCCATACCACACTGTACCATCAATTTTATCTCCCTTCTCAGTACAGTTCAGATAAAAGACACTATTATCGCTAAAACTGCTATTCATCACAATGATACCATTCTTCATACCCGCGCTATCTATCAGCTCTTACAAATTACAATTGCATCACTGTTCTGAATCATAACTGACTTTTATTACAGAATCAACGCAACGTATGTCGTCAACGAACGTCGTCATACGAATTTGGTGTCATATCATTCATACTAACGAAGAAAGTAATAAACTACCACAAGATACCGTCATTCAAACATGGGGGGTCTATTTCAGTGGTCTTAGATATATCGGGGCGAATCTAGCCTCGAATTTCACTTCAGACTGCTTCAAATGTAACACTTTAGTCCTACAAATGCATGGAGGATACTTCTGCTCATACAAAAGTCTAAAATTAGATGTGATACCACCAGAAAACGAAATAGAACACGGTTCATTATCTTCGGATTCTTCTGAAAGGACCAATCTTTCAAAAATCAATTTAGATGCTAAACATATATTGAGTAATAAGCTAGGAAAAGAATCGAGGTCCATTTCTCCTAATAAATTTTCTAAGAAGGCTGATAAAGAGTATTCGAAAAGTCACAGTCCAATAGAGAGGGGTTTTCATCAAAATTTTCCAACATTAAGAACATCAGCTAGCTTAAATATTGGACAAAGTCAAAGAGACTATTACAGGCGAAGAGAAGAAGATTCGGAACAAGGCAAAGGCGATCCAAAGCCACCGAATCATATATACGAACATTCGCCTGACAATTTAGATGTTAAAGAGTATGCAAGCGTAAACTGTGATATTGCGTTTAAGAACGCGTCTAAAGAAGATTTGTCTTGTAACATAGACTTAAGTGAAACAGCAGAGAACTACGACTTGAGAAACGAAGCCGATGGGGTTCCTAAGTATAGATATTTGGCTCTGAACTTTCTCAAGTCTGAAATAAGACCAAGTTATAACGCGACGAAGTTGCAGAAGCTACATTTGTTGCAATATTCTATCAAGAAGAGACAAGAGGCTGTTCAGGAGATCAAGGAGAGGATTTATAAGAAGTCTGCCTTAACCAACGATGATTGGCCGACTTTAGACGAATATTGTGACATCAGACTAAAGTTTAAGAGTAGATCTCAAAGGAATTTATTCTCTCCGGATGATAGTGATAGCTTAAGTAAAGATAAGTCTTCGTCACAAAGCGATCTGAGTGTGAAGAATGGAAAGATTAAGGAGGACCGACCTGTCGTGTCCAATGGACCGAGGTTGACCCTAAAATTGAATGATCTCTTATCTTTTAAGGTTAGTATCTATCTACATACTATGTATTCTATACTTTTACATATAAAGCTAGAGTTTGTTTATTTGTCTGAGCGCGCTAATATCCGAAATTGCTGGTTCGATGTGAATAATTCTTGTCTTATTGGATAGTTCATTTGTAGAGAAAGACTATATGTGAGAACAGCACGCTGTGATTACCTAGTCCTATTGTTTATTGATTTTTCATGCGAACGTTTCACGCCAGTTCTCTGAATGCGACGTTCTTTTATTGGCAGATAATTCTATGTTGAAAATGCAAGTGGGAAGATTTGTTTAACTCGTCGAGTACCGGTTTTGTAGACACAATTATAGAACAATAGGTTGCGGTCACCGGTGACCGCTTGGTGCTTGACAGTTTAAATAAAAGCTTCATCTTTGACTATTCCAGGCAAAACCTTCGCCCTTCCAGAGGGCAGAACACGTAAGGCTGACAAAACAACTGGAGATTCTACGATTCAAGCGGATCATACTATCAGATGAAAGAGATAGCAAGCTCACAAACATAAGGAAACTGAAAGAGAGGCACGCTAAACTGTTTGAAGAAAACCAGGATGTCGGTGAGTGTAAGGACAAAGTTTTTTAAAGGGTTTTTTTGGCATCATTTTGGTACATGCGGTTTTCATTTTGTATTGTCTGCTAAGGGTTAACATACTAGCCACAACAAATATGTGTAGAAATATGTTTTCGTTAAAATTTCGTTTTTATGGTAGGTAATAGTAGTTAGTTCTTTGGTCTTTAGGGCAAATTGTGGTAATGAAGCTTTGGCATTATAAATTGAATTATTGAAAAGCCTTCTATGGGCTATAAGTGTGGGAGAGCCATGATTCGGCACGAATGGGCCGGCTTGACCGAAGTGATACCACGGCCTCACAGAAAACCGACGCGACCAATGCCGTGTCGGCTTAATCACGTAATTATTTGCCGAGGAGGTTCGCGGAATGTTGCTTAATGTACGTGTGTAAGCCGAAAAACATACAAAATTAATTTAAAAAATAATCTTTACACATTCTTACACTCGGCCTACGCCATACTACTAATAAAATGTATTTATTGTGAGTTTGTTCTATAGATCGATAGATGGCGTTGGTCGATGTTTATGCCGGAAAAACATTAGGTAGCTTGGTTTGACGTAAATAAATGTCTCGTTCTGAGGAACTTCGTTTCTTTCAAATATAAAGGCTTGTGCCGAACATAGAGTATTCCTCTTTGTGCCGTTAGTTATTGAATAAAATAATAAAATTCGTCCAAACCTGAGCTTTGGTCGATTAGTAGAAATATTATACTAGTTTTTATGTGTATAAAGTTCTAATTATCTATTTTTTATAGTTTTTTTTCGTTTCATCGCTTTTCGAAAGAGACTTGTTGTAAATATGGAATGCATGGTCTCAACTATTTTCGGCTATGGTATCAAAATTATTAACTTTAATCTTTATACGCTGGGTGTAAAGTTCAAAATTCCATTTCTGTTATGTTGTTTGTTTCATTTTTAGTTTAATAAACTGATTGGTGTTAATTGATGTATCAGACTGCTTAGCGCAGCACTTGGGCAACTTTTGGCTTTGGCTTGGCTGCAGTGCAACGTGTCCCGGGTTCGATTCCTGCATTGATACTTCCCACAGTTATCTAAACTTACCCATACTTATTTTTACGCATAATTTAAATAGAATATCTTGGTAATGCAAATGAAAACAATGATAGAAGCTTTTCTTTATGAGACTGTCCAAAAAGAGTGTCATGTTTTAAAATATTTATTTTTGACTGAGGAATCATCGCAATTCTCTACTTTCCTAAATTGAATTATTTTTATAAACTAGATTCTATGCAGCTTAGCATTTATGGTCACCAAGACAAGACGTGTATACAAAAAAAACAATCAGCCGAACATAACACCTCCTTTTTTGAAATCGGTAAAAATTCAGCTCAATCAGTTGAAGATATCTGCTTCAAAATTCAATTCTATTTTACACGCACACATACATACATGGCAAGTTAAGCAAGCTTGTAAAATACGTTTTACAGGGACAGAACTGATGCAGAACTACCACTCTCTATCTCGTCGGAATGAGAGTGTGAAAGAGACTCGCCAGGCTTGTGGAGCCATACGCGAGCTGGCCGCGTCCTCGCACCATGCGTTATGTACGCAAAGAACTGAACTTCTTCGACAGTTACATCAAATATTTTATATTGAACAGGTAAGGAATTTGTACAGATAACATAAAATCACGCCTTTTATCCCTTTTATATCCCTATTATATCTTTATTTAAGCAGAGGTGCACACAGAAGTAACACCCACTTTTCACTATTTATGTTATGAGCCTCATGTAATAGGGGGTGAGCCTATTGCCATATGCTACGACTGCACGGTTGGTGCGGTGGCTGGGCAACCGGCTGCCGTGCAACGTGTCGCGGGTTCGATTCCCGCACGGAACAACACTTTGATCCACAAATTGTTGTTCCGGGTCTGGGTGTCATTGTGTATGTGAACTTGTATGTTTGTAAACGCACCCACGACACAGGAGAAAATCCTAGTGTGGGGCAACGTTTAAAAAAAAAAATACCGGACACATTTCCAGACCGTGCTACTACTGAGAATTTTTTGAAAACCCAATAATACTTTGCCTGACCCCAATAATACTTTGATACGGGAATCGAACCTGAGACCCCTTGGAATTTGTACCTACTTTAGTAATAACAGACAGACAACACAGCCAAAAGGGCAGGTCTCTACGAGAAAGATCGCTATCACTCTGTAACTCAATCACTCTATAGACATTTAAAAATACTATTCTCGTGGCAGCTCGACTAGTTTCGAGCAATACCGGGACTCATATTTATAGTTAACTCGTCGTGTACCGGTTTTGTAGACACAATTATAGAACAATAGGTTGCGGTCACCGGTGACCGCTTGGTGTTTGACAGTTTAAACTGTTTTTCGGATCAAAATTATGACTAGCTGTCCTGGTGGATGACTAGGCGCAATAGCTGGGCAACCTATTGCTTATAAATGTATGGGAGGTTCCCGGGACGAAGTAATTCTTTTGTTTGATGTTTTGTATGCTTTAACAATTTCGTGCCAAAGCATTGTTCTCTTACCTTAACAGTATTATCACCAACAGAAAGACCAAACAACGTGGACTATATGCGGGGTTCCCTTACCAGTGTGTGGTGATGAGAGTCCTCGAGGAACACCCCTCAGTGACTCAGTGGCCACTGGGTTTGTAGCCCAGGCCACTTGTTTGGCGGCCTCACTGTTAAACCAGCCACTGAGGTACAAAATCACACTGTTGGGATCAGCCAGCAAGATATTGGATGTCACTCCTGATTTACCTGATCCGAAGTAAGTTTGGTATAGTTTTTTTTTATTGCATAAGCCGGTAAACTAGCAGATGGATCACCTGATGGTAAGCAATCGGCGTCGCCCATGGACACCTGGACCACCTAAGTCGTTACAATGGCTTTACCGGCCATTTGGGGATAACGAGTTTGAGGATCGTTGGGGATTCAGGGATTGGAGAGATTGGGGAACGGGAGGGTAATTGGGCCTCCGGTAACCTCACTCACACGACGAAACACACCGCAAGCGTTGCTTCACGTCGGTTTTTTGTGAGGCCGTGGTATCACTCCGGTCGGGCCGGCCCATTCGTGCCGAAGCATTGCCTCACACACTTGAAGAGTAAGCAACGTGTTGTGAGCAACGAAACTGAGCTACAGTCGTTTCTTTTTTCGAACTGTCTGTAGTTAGTTATTATGTTTTTCGACTTACACACGTAATTATTTGACGAGGAACTCGACTAGTTTCAAGCCATGCTAGACGCTCATATTCATGAGCGGTAGCAGTACGTGAGTAAGCCGAAAAACATAACAATTAATTTAGTATATCTCACACTGTAATGTAAACCCTCTATATAACTTAAAAATAATACTTTTACAAATAACTGGTCTCATTTTAAAGGTAACTAAATGACATTTACGACATACGTTACCGTTTAATAAAATACATTACCATATACCGACCCGAGAATCGAACTCAAGACCCAATGCACGGCAGTCGCACTCGCGACCAATCGCGCATAGAAAAGTCGCTATCCGCAGTCTGTCTCTCCCTGTATGCTTAGATCTTTAAAACTACGCAACAGATTTTGATGCGGTTTTTTTTAATAGATAGATTCTTAAGGAAGGTTTATATGTATAATACATGCATATTGCACCCGTGCGAAGCCGGCGCGGGCGCTAGTATCTTTATAAACAAAATGTTACTTTAAATTATCTTTTTTAAATTCTAGCATAGCACTGTTCCCCCGCGGCGGAGACACGACACTATTCCGCTACGGTTTGTTCCTCCTCAACAAATGCATTGGACAACTTGTAGTTGGTCGAGGACTACCCTTATCAGACATACGGCCTACTCTCTCCAATCTACAGCGATTACTCACTACACCTGCTAGCATGTAAGTAGATTTTGTTTTTCTTTTATACCTACTTGATAGGTCGACGTTTGGCCACCATGTGTGGTGGTAAACAAAGATGTGGCCAACGATGGAACACGCCTACCTATGAGCAACCTGTTCACTCGGGAAGACACCCATAAATTGACCAAATATTGTTATTACACTGTTCTCACATTATTGAACTCAACGAAAGAATGTAACCAAAAATTGTATTGTGAACATGATTGAAAAAGAGTAACCTGTGGAGTTTCTTGCTTGTTCTTCTCCATAGGAATCTACACTTTGGAACGAGCAAATAGCTTCACTAGAGGACTGACCTACAGACTGACATTTTTTTTTCTTATTATTTAATATTTAAATATTTTGTTGTGACGTTCAAAAGTGCCTTCCTGGTCTAATTGAAATAAATGATTTTGACTTTGACTTTGAAAAAAAATTTTTCAGAAAACAGATTCCGGCAAGGAATTCCATTCCTTTGCGGTTCTATTTTCTCCTATCATGTACCTACTATTTTCTGGAATTTAAAGCTATTTTTGAGATTTATTTTAATTTTAAAGCACTCTTAGTACACTTTTTTACACCTTGAGATGTCCCAAACCAGTGTACATTGGCCGTTGAATGTGCCGAAAGATCATACGAAGCAGGTCCATGATAACTGGTTATGGGCAGCTCGGTGTGCTGTCGTGTGTTCTAATAATATGATTGGAAACATAAATATGATGTTAATATGGCTTCAAAATACGCTATCCTTTATTTTATTACTGTCAAAGAAGATGTAACTGAGGCTTAGTATGAGTTTGTTTTACATTATTACGTGCCAAGCACGAATAACTATCGCATTCGTAACTAACTAAATTACTTGTGCTAAATTAGTTATTATATATATTCATCTTAACCGTTTGACGAGGCAACTCAACTAGTTTCGAGCTATAGCGGGACTCATAAAACAAAAGTGTAAGTGAATCGTATATTTATAGTAATTTCTGATAACAGAAATACTTACGGATAATTTATAGAATTAAAGAAAAATCAGCCCTTAAATTCAATAGGAGTATTGGAAAATATTGGTCGATTCACTTGAGCCGGCCAATCAGAGCGCCGAACGCGCTCGATACTATAGCGTTACGAATGCGATAGTTATTCGTACTTAACACTCAAAGCACCGACCGGACGCGGTCTCGTTTCGATTACTTTATACGTAAAACGATGATAAGCCCTCAGAACAAAATTACTGAAGTTTTAATGCGACGAGCTGTATAGATCGACCTTAGTGTCGTACTATTTTAACTAGTGTCTACAAGGTGTAGTTTCAAACCGTGTCATTTCTCGGGGGCATGTCACAGAAGTCATAAAGGTTCAATGTAAGAGAAAATTTCGGGCCAATAGTTAAAAATACAGCTATATTAAATCGTTTAAGTTCGACAGTATTTCAGAATAAGCGACAGCAATGTTTCTTATTGGAGTTTTATGGAATTAGGAATAATATCAATTACGTGTTTGAGTTTGTGTGTTGAGCCGCGTTATAAACGTAATTTCAGAAAAATTAAAAATATTTACCTACATCTTTTTTATTGATTCGGACTCAAAATCGATATCCGAGTTACCTCCTAGAAAATGACGCGGCTTTAAAACAACACCTTGTACATCACAAATATGTTGTTTGTAATTGTATTGCTAAATTGAATAACATTCCAATGATAAACCGTCAATCAAAAGTAATCTTTATATTTTTGTCTTAAAAAACTATTATTGCTTTAAATCTGCTAGTTTCTCATCTCTTCGTATTAATTTCACACTTGCGTAGTTTTTTGCTACATTATAATGCACCTTATATTGTAGGTCGGACACCACAAAGTTGTATGGCCCGTACAGATGGCTGGTGGATAGCCAATGCCCTCGTACTCAATCTCTAAGGAGTCTTGTTGCTACGGAGAGGTGTAAATATAGACAGTTTAATAGGTTTAAGGTATGTATTATCTATTTTGTATAATAAGTAACGTAGGACGTGCTAAATTAATTATTACATTTACTCAACCGTTTGACGAGGCAACTCAACTAGTTTCGAGCGATACCGGGACTCATAAAACAAAAGTGTGAGTGAACCGTATACTTTATAGTAATTTCTGATAACAGAAATACTTACAGATAGTTTATAAAATTAACTGTTCAATCCCCAAAAGCAATCACCTATGACCACTCTCCACTTACTCCATTATAGACCTTATTTCCGATATGTTTACAGACTATTTTTGTATGAACAAATTTTGGGTATGATATATTAACGTAATAAAGAAAAATCGGCCCCTTAAATTCAATAGGAGTATTGTAAAATATTGCCAAGCACTGGGTAAAATTTCCCACTTACTGATGAAAATTTCGTAATTTGAAAACCCCAATTATATTTCTCGACACGTCTATGTCATTGATAAAAGAATTAGGCAGAAGGGTTCTGATTACCACCTAAAGTGATGCCAAAATATTAAATGAACAAAATGTCACATAATTATGTCTAAAGAATTAATTATTTTGGCTACAGGACGCCGTAGACGGCCAGTCTCCACAATCGGCGATGAACAAGAGACACAGGCATTCACGCAGCGTGGGCAGTTACCAGGACGATCAGGTAATACTCTTATCAGCCTTATTGCGGTACCAATAACATACATGAAGTTTCTCAAATCTATCTCGGTCTTTCTAATTTATTATATCGGGTCTCTGTGTGATGTCGATGGAAAAAATATCGTTTTTAAGCGCACCCATGACAGAGGAAATACCCTGAAGTGGCCCTCGTTTAAAATATAAATAAAACTTCTACAACAAACCAATATGATTATCAAAATCTGTTCATTGGTTCTAGAGTTTTGAACTTAGAAACACTTCAGTACTTAATACATAATTTTCGACCTCCAATTCATTTATGCTTTCCGTGTGCATTTTATGTGGCTTTAATTTTTCCCCAATGTAAGTTCTTATTATTTTATTTCAAGTAGATAGTATTTTTTTTCTTCCAAATTTATTTTTATCCCAAAATTCACGCAATATTTGATATTATTCCAAGGCAATAAGTTATAGAATTCTAAACTGAATAAAAATATTTTACCAACAGGAGCTGCCAACATTAGAAGACTCAACAACATCAATAATGGGAAGCGAACCAAACATATACAACATGAAACTAAAACAAGACGACAACATAGACACACAAGGTCTAAAATCCCATAACTCAGATTCCGAAATACTGAGATTTAACACCGAACAAAGCCAATCAAAAGTCCTATTTACATTAGGCGGCGAATCAACAATCGACCTTAATGGTAAACTAGTTCGAATGTCGACTAATAACCAGGATGAAATGGATGAAAGTGTGAAGAAAATTTGTTCAGAAATCAGTGATTTTTGTTCGACTGAAAGAGTTCATGAAGGATTAGATATCGCTAAGCACTTGAGTGATGATACTATAAATATAGCTGAATATTTGGAGGCTAAAGGTACTGTGGATGATTGCGATCCAACTTGCGCTGAAGTTATCGTAATACCTAGCGCGGAAGCCATCTTGGACACGGGACAAGAGGTTAGAGAAATTGAGGAAGAAAAAAAATAAGAGTCGAAATGCTGTTGATTGAAATTGAACCTTATGAAGTATGAGTCGTACTAAATAAATATTTGTATGTTGCAAGTTATTACACTGCCAATTTTAAGACATAATATTGCATGTTAATCGTCAAAAGGGTGGTTGTTCTAACAGTTATCGAGTTTTGCCAGGTATATAAGTAGTATTGTATTAGGGCTATTCAAATGTCACATTCATAAATGTGATCTACATACATCCAAGATCGTCTTGTGGTTGATATGATGGTGAGGAATAAGGTTTTAAATCACATGATAAACGCAAACCCACGTAGCTCAACTACAGAAAATGCTAATGTAATACTTTGCCCAATTTTGTTGCCTATACTCAACGCATTAAGGTCAATAGTCGAATGAAGTATAAAAATATGGAAAATCCAAATTTATAAAAGAAGTTACAATTTCAACCAATGGCTGCCTTGTAAATAATACTTTTTGTATGTTCGTCGTAATGAAAATTATTTATATAAACTTCATATTATACTTAATCCCTTGTATTGTTAACGGATGAAATAATATAAATATTAAATTAAATAAATACATAAATTATTGTGTGATTCTTGTTTCATGTTTATTTGTTAATCTCAGATTGTTTTGTTGAAATAGGGATGGGATGGAGAGTTATCGATAGTTGAGGTTTAAGGGCATCGCTAGAGGATAATTAAGGTTATACTTGTGTACCTAAAAGTATTCCTATCGCTACAGTGATCATTAAAATACAGAGAGACACAACTTCTACAATTTCAGTGAAACAATACATTTTTCTTGTAACTCGTATATCGAGTTTGTGATTTCGTTTGCAACATTCATCCTTTTAATGCATATTGGAACACAAAGAAATGTGATTCACGTAAAATGTAATGAAGTTGCCACATTAGTCATATTGTGCCGACTCTATTTAACTCAGGTAAGGGACAATAACATTAATAAAATGTAAGTTCTTTTTCCAATGATGTTATAGACGCCAAAAGAGGATCTTTTGGCGTCTTCTGAGTAACTATAACTTATTAGTTATTCTTAGTAACTGCTTCTCTGTTTAATTTAAGAATTTAAATCGATTTTCGATATGCTCACAATAAAAGTTCATCGAAAAATGTATCGATTTTGACCGTTGGGCTACATGGAGCATTTCATAGTTTAAAGAAAATTCATTAAAACTAACTAATTAGAAAATAAAAGCCGTACTAGTTGAGCCTTTTATCATGCTACGGGCACAAATTTAGACTGACCAACTAAGGAATTTGAGTAAGGAACTTAATTTTTAGCTCAACTCTAATGTCAAACCAAAACATGATGCTCAGTAATGCCACTTAGACTAAAATCAGTCAAATCTAGATAAAATTACAATCTAGAATAATCAGCATCGAATGTACCAAAAATGGTTGTCTCTAACTCGCCAAGTTTACTCTTAATTTTATCGATACATTGTTTTTATTGATAAATATTTCAATCGATATACGTCGATGTACATCACTAATGTTAAATGTTTGTATTTAACAAATAGTTTGGTAGGTACACCGTGCCTAAATAACGATAAAATAAAATTGTAAGAAATACCTATTTGTTTGTAAATTGTAAATAATATTATTATGTATGGGATACCTACTTGTACTTGCGTCTTTCATAATCGGCTGTTGTTATAATTAAATATTTATTTCATATCTCAATTTTGTTTTATTGACTGTAAAAAGGGGTGAATAGGTACAGGAATGGGGTGAATAAATGTTAGAATATTTTCCCAACATTTATTCACCCCTCGAATTCGATTCACTCCGTTTTACTGTACTTAAAAAAATACCATTTTTTGTACTAGATCTAATATCTATTCTATATCTAATATTTATTGACAGATATAAACCGACACGTCGTATAAATTGAGTGAGTTTACCGGACGCCCAATAACTTACCTAATTCGGTTTATTTAATTACTGTTATCTTATACGACAAAATAAAAAATGATATTATTTTTGCATTACATAACGGATTGGCTAATAGAATTTTAGTTTTCATGCATCATCACTACTGCATGACGGCTGAGCCTATCCGCGTATCATATTGTATAAAAAGAATACCACACAAAATAAAATACTGTCATAGGTATCTACTGTCATAGGTACTCAGAAGATTCTGAGTTCAATCACGATACTAAAAATTACAATTAATAACCGTCTTCAATTACCACCTATACTTCTTTCAATGTCGCGGAGAATCTAACGGGTAACCGGGGCTCCGGCTCGACGTGCAGGAGAAGGAACGGGGTGGTTTTTAGTCAGTAAGAGTCTGACACTCCCTCCCGCCTCACCCAGGCGGGAGCAGTCATTCGATGATTTTCGCCCCTTAAAAAAAAAAATACTTCTTTCAATAAATAAATGTCATGTGCTTAAATATGAACTCTGTTACTATTAACCTTTTCGCCGCCCAGCTATACTAAACACGATGTGTCGCCGTACGCCAACGTATAAATGTATAATAAATGTATAGTACGAAAGTAGGGATGGCGGTAACATCATGTCGATAATGAAAAAAAATATGTGTAAATTTAAATTGGTACTCAAATTTACAATTAAAAATACAAACTGTTAAGTTATAATGGTAATTTGTTTTATTTTATGAACATTTATACTAAGAAAAATGGGTATCCGTTATCAGAGATGAAGATACATGCATAGAGTTGCTAGAGATAATAATAATAATTCGTAACATTAGCCACTTCACTATTCATTTCATAACGTAGTCTGTTTACTTCATATCAAGTCATTGGCGTTCAAAGCACGATACATTTCGTAAGGAATAGTTGTCTATGCTTTTCTTTCTTTCTATCGAGTTTGGTTTGCTTTTGGTTTTAGTTTACATTTAAAATCTAACGTCAGGTCACGATCAGGAACATTGTTTGTAGTGATTAAAAGTGGCAACATATGTGTAGTTTTGGAAATGGATGGTAAGTAACTATTTTAATACAGATGTACTAAACTTTAATAGCTTATTTTTCATTTAATGCAAATGAAAAACTGGCACGTTTGATGGATATTAGGTAGTCATAAAATACCTATTCGTTGCGGCTCTCGGTTTCGCAAACTTTTAGCTGTGTCGGCGAACAAATATAGAATAAACTCATCCGAATCATATTCGGTCATTTTGCACTGCACTGGGAAAGAAAAATGTGCGTGCACGCGTCGCCCGGAACTATGACACAATGACCTTGACGCCTAAGCGCTTACGACGTCACAGGTTTACTTCTATTGAAGTTGACGGCGCTAGTGTCACTCGACATCTTGCCATTACGTAGAGATGGGTCTAGCAATATCGAAAACCCTCAGTACATAATAATTAATTTTAATGAAATGATTTGATAGGTAGATGTACATTAATTTTGAAACGCATTGTAATACGTTATTTACTGACCGGAATTTCTTTTTATTCATAGTATTCAAAAAACTATTGGATGGAAAAGAAAACAAATATTATAGTAAATAAAGATTCTAATGAATGCTCCTTACGCGTCACATCACTGGCCTACTTGATATGAAGTCTTTGGCGTGCGGGATATAAAATTATTTGAAACCTTTTATGTTTTACCTTTTTAAAACAGAAAATAGTCTGTTTTGCATGAGAAAAAATAGTTCGTCGTGTCCATATTACAAAATTACAAAGAAACAAATGTTTTATGTATCGTAAATGTATTTTTTATAGTAGGTAGATATAATGAACTTCTATAGAAGTAGTGGCGTGGACGGCACGAAAATCCTGAACTTCTATAGAAGTTGTTGGCGGCGAAAAGGTTAATATTAAAAGCTACATTAGAAAATCCGTATATTAGCGTAGAGATTTGTTTAGACTATTTGTCATGTCGACCTCTTCACGTGGCGTACACGTGCTCGTAAGTCTTGTAGTTAGATTAATAAATTGAGATGTAGACTAATAATTGGTTAACCAATGTTCGTTTATTTAGATAGGTACTGCCATCCTTAGGCTACAAGCAAGCCAAAAGACTTTAATTTTAAATTAAAGGTAAGTCATAAACTCCCGGGTTCGATCAAGTGTTTCTCAGTCAAAATAAAGACAACTACCCATTACACATTGAGCTCCGGCTAGGTAGAAAACAACTTAACTTATAATTGGAGAAGTCGGGAAAGAGAGGTCTAACAAAACTGGCCAGTATATAGCCCAGCGAAAATATAAATAGCGCGGCACCGGCACGCATGCGCGTTCCCGAACTGTTCTAAATTCAAATAGTCCGGCGCTCGCGCAGCCCGGACGTTTGAGAATCGGATTTTTTAAATCCAAATTTCGAAATTCCAATCCCGACTCCGACTGGAAAGGCCACGTGATTGGGTTGATTTTGTAAAAGGAACGTGTGTTAATGAAATTAGCATCTCTAGTGTTGTGAACGGTGAAAAATGTGTGAACAGTGCGTGCAGCGTTGATTCCAGAAAAAAGGATTTATTTGTGCGTTTTTGGCGCATGTGGTGAGTAGATTTTTAAATACCTTTTATTATTTTTTCTCTAATTTGTATTAAAAATCGTTATTACTTTGAAAATCATTGATTTTTCACCCTAAATTAGATTAAATTCTAGATAATAGTCGTTACATAACTATAAATAAATCGTTGCCCTGGCAATTAATATTCTTCGGCAATTTGGCTGGGCGCCGGGGTTGAATTTCATTAATCTTAGGTCATACTGTTATTTATTTCACTGATAGCCTTAGACAAATGATTCAACGGAATCTTCGTCAGTAGGTACATCAGGGACCTATATTTATTTAACATAACATCACGCCTTTTGTCCCCGAAGGGGTAGGCAGAGATGCATATTATGCCACTGTACAATGTTACACCCACTTTTTACTATTTATGAGTCCCATGTAATAGGGGGTGAACCGGTTGCCATAATATACCGGGCACAATTTCAGACTCCGTGCTACTACTGAGAATTTTTGTAAAAACACAGTAATACTTTGCCCGACATGGGAATCGAACCCGAGACCCCTTGCCCGGCAGTCACATTTGCGACCACTCGGCCAACGAAGCAGTCATATTTATTTAATCAATCAGATTTAGATCTAGGTAAGTAAGTACACTTGGAAAACGGAGTCACTAGCCTTATTTTGTCAATTTATAACTTTAAAAAAATATTCCTTTTACAACAAAATGTAACTCATTTTAAAAGTGACTAAATTGCCTTTTATACGACATACGTGTTAGAAAATATTTATCAAGAAATTAAAAAGAAAAAATGCTAATGCCTCCGGTTTTTTGCTCCCAAGTTACTTCGGTAATCTAGCTATGTCTGTCGCGGAGAACCTAACGGGTTACCGGGGCTCCGGCTCGACGTGCAGGAGAAGGAACGGGGTGGTTTTTAGTCAGTAAGAGTCTGACACTCCCTTCCGCCTCATCCAGGCGGGAGCAGTCAATCGAGGATTTTCCCCCCTTAAAAAAAATCTAGTTATGCCTACTTACCTAGCCTTCAATTTATTAGTTAGTTAGTAGTCTGTAATACCAACTAATTTATCTCTAAATATTAATCGACAGAAATGGTACTATCACAACACATGATTACTTTTTCTGCGTTTCGTGTGTTCATTAAAAAGGTACCCACTTGATACTTCTATTAGGTATAGTGACTTGACTTTTATGACACATATTAAATTAATTATTTGACGAGCAACTCGACTAGTTTCAAACACTATTCGGCGACATACGACGCGGGGTCTATCGCGTTTCTACATTGCTCATGAATATGAGCCTCTAGTATGGCTTGAAATGTCGAGTTTCTCGTCAAATAATTATGTGAGTAAGCCGAAAAACATAATACTTTACTTTTGGTAAATTCAAATATGGTTTTATGTTTACAAATGCCTAATTCAAAATTCGTGCTAAAACTCTTGAAACAACATTTAAATTACGCTATATAACTTCTACTACATTCACATAAGGTTCACGTAAGAGTGCATTTTATGATTATACAAACTGGCAATAAGTTCACGCAAAATTAAACCTTATAAACCTACATTTTCTTACAACTTCGAATGCATTTTGCCTTTTACTGCTCTTGCCCAACTATTGGTCCATTTTACGATCGAATGTGGTATGAATTAAGACATATATATTCATAGTAAGCGAGATACTACTTTAAAGGTTATTCGCGAACTAAAGTTCAGCCAACTCTCGATATTTTTAAAACTGTTTCTAATGCGAGTTCGTAACTAAATACATTAGTAATTATTTATTTTAATTCTAAGAACGTGTTACTTTGAAATTCATCCATTTGAATACTGACCGAAGATACATTTTATTTTTACTCTATCGTCAGCTATGTCTATCATCATCAACGGCTTGTAATCATCCCAATGCTGGGCAATGTCATCCTCTCACATGAATAAAGAATAGGCATTAAGCCAAGGATACTGGAATGCCGTCTCCTCCTTTTGCGAAGCAGTCATGTTAGCTAAGGAGGAGGCGGGGCGCATAAGGCAGCGAAGCGCTGCCTCCTCACAACCCAGCCGTCGCGTAAGACACCTCGGGCGTCGGGGGTCGCGATATTATCTCCGGCCATCGTAAGCGCGGACCTACGGACGGCGAGCATGAGTGGCTCGCCGCCCGAGCAGAACCAGACCCGAGCGTACGGCGCGTCGCGTTCCTCGCGCGCCTCAAAGAGCCATCAGACCACTACGGATGGGGCCAATAGGGCTCATGCCGATACGTAGCCGCGGAGAACCTAACGGGTTACCGGGGCTCCGGCTCGAAGTGCAGGAGTGGTGGCACTCCCTCCCGCCTTACCGAGACGGGAGAAGTCATTCGATTTTTGTCTCCCCTTAAAAAAATTGCATATATATATATATATATATATATATATATATGCAATTTTTTTTTAATATATTCCACACCGGGCACAATTCCAGACTCCGTGCTACTACTGAGATTTTTTGTAAAGGCCTAGTAATACTTTCCCCGACCCGGGAATCGAACCCGAGACCCCTTGCCCGGCAGTCGCAATTGCGACCACTCGGTCAACGAGGCTGGACTGTGATATTTTCTATGCGACCAATATTACAAAAATTAAGTTCTATGCATATGCATAATTCTGTCCAATTTTGAAACTGCCATAACTCATTGACTACATATTTCAGAAAACCAATTCAAAGTGATATGAAGAGAATAATATTTGTACTGTCGTTGTTGCTGTTGTGTTTATTTTTCACATATTAATAATTACATATTCCACGTATTAAATTAAAAACCGTTTGTTTTTTCGTAAAAAATCACTATATAAGAAAACAAATATGTAATATCAGGAATTTATCAGTGGATTGGGTACATAAAATCTCATATAGTTTCTTTGAAGAATAAAGTCACATTGTGATAGCTCTATTCAAAATATTTATAGTTTTTAGCTGGGCAAAATTCATGTAATGACTAGTGTCATTTATATACACAAACTAAACAGAATACAACACATCGACAGTAGAATCAACGAAATCGCAATGAAATAAACTTTGCCTGCCAATGGCAAGTTTACAGGAACTTGAAATCAAACAACTGAGCAAAGTTTGAAATCCAATAATAGTACGTTCATTTCCTGTTACGAGTCTAAATACACAATTGGCAATATAAGTGGCGATTGTCATTACTAGTACTAAAAGTAGTCAGTTTATACAGAAGCGGATTAACTCGTCGAGTACCGTCATTATAGACACAATTATAGAACAATAGGTTGCGGTCACCGGTGACCGCTTGGTGTTTGACAGTTTAAACCTAGAAGGCCATTGGACGTCTACTGCTGAACATGGCCTATGCCCCTCCCAATAACCACCTCATAATCTTCTAAAGGCGCCTAGCTTTTTTGGGTATAAAAAAGTAGGATGTGTGGAATTTCTATCCCACTAAAACCATCCCGGTGGCCTTCATCACCTATGGCACCGAGTCCTCTATAATAATGCTCTGGAACCCCTACGGTGAAACGCCTGTTATGGCACATCGCAAGGGTCATAAGCACCCTTAATTTTTTTTGGCGCCAGTCGACGTGTGCACACGCCTCGCGCGGCATCGCGGCGACTCTGACTCTCTAACCTGGCGCCTTAGGCGCTTGCCCTGTTTGCCTTTGATATAATACGGCTCTGAATTTAACCTTCTCGCCCAAACCTCTAAACTGCACAAGTTTGCAGTTTGAGTTTATAGTTTCAAAATAATCCCGATGGGATTGGAAACAATTAAGCTTGTTCGTGGCAAACAGTTTAATGTCTGTCTCCCAATTTTAGTTAAACCTGCGTAGCAACTAAAGGTTATATTAAATTAGGTGCAAACAAATTCCAAACAAATAATAGAACTCTCATAAAAATGTTATCTGTATAACACCTTTTTTCCCCCCGAGTATGAATTTTTCAATCGGGTGGAAGACGCTATAAATTCAAAGCTTCTCTTGTCTGAAACTTCTGAATAACTTGAGCCAAAAGAAGTAAAAGTAGTGGTAAAGTAGAACCTACATCAACTCATGAGAGTCCATTAGTGAGCTACAGTGCTCCTCTGTATAAGAGGGTATGCTATAATCCACGCTAAGCTGGCAGTTTGAAGATCATAGGTAAAAAGTTCCAGGTTTACCATAGGGTGCTGCTGCCCAGTGTATTAAAGATTACTACAGACCCAAATGTGTAGTAGCTAATAATACCGTCTGTACCATACCACTGGGAGCCCGAGCCCAAGACCCCCATCCTACGACGGTCACACATCCGCTATTGTACCCAGAGCAAATTTTTGTATAAGTCACAAATTTTGTTTCGGGTCTTAATATCATGTACCTATATGTGAACTCGTAAGTTTGTAAATGCACCCACGATACAGGTGAAAATCCTATCCAAGTGTGAACGTTGAAAGAAAAGAAACATTCCACGGGCCCCTTATTGTGTGTCTAATGGTGCGGTCATTCGGGCGTAGTCTAAGGCGGCCCTGCGTACCGTAGGGGTGGTCACAAATCTACCTATTCTTATTATCTCAGTACCGTGACTATACGGCTTTCTCTAGATAAAATGTGCTAATTGCCAAGAACAAACTTCCGTCTCCAAGCTAACTCATGCTTGCGTTTAAATAATTATTTTAACGATCCCTACTGTTCTTACATTCCTCGGGCGTTACGCCAAATTGTGTGTCTTTCAAAATTACTAAACATTTATGATTGGCCATACTCATTGGTTTAGCTTTACTACTATATTGAAATAATGAGTAAAGGACTTTGTATTTTGAGATACTGTTTGCTTTTTATGAGGTATATTAGTTTGGACTGCCTCGTTGGTCGAGTCGCAATTGCGACTGCACGGCAAGATTCTCGATACACGGGTCTGGCAAAATACTACTGGATTTAAAAAAAAAATCTCAGTGGTAGCACGGAGTCTGTAATTGTGGCCAGTATATGGCAATAGGCTCACCTCCTATTACATGGGACTCATAACATAAATAGTGAAAAGTGGGTGTTA